ATATATATATATATATGTATATATTTCCACACACATATACACACACACACACACACACACATAAAATAAGATCATGCTACAAAAGTACTTTTGTTTATGGATTTGAATTTTTAACCTGATGTGTAGGTAGCTGTAGATTATAGAGTATTAAATATTATTATGCTACATGATGAAATACATTCTTCCCTCATTTGTAGTCTTTATATTTTGGATGTTAAGAATGCTGATTTGTTCTAAGGCTGCTTGGATTCATATGGCTGCTGTAACAAAGTGTCACAGACTGGTGGTTTAAACGACCAGAATGATTTTCTCACCATTCTAGAGGTTAGACATTCAAGATCACATGACAGCAACAGTGGGACTAGTTTTATTTGAGGGCCTTTTCCTTGGTTGTTAATGGTCCTCTTTTCTCTCTGTCTTCCCATGTTCTTGTGTGTGTCTGTGTCCTAATCTCTTATAAAAGTACAAGTTATATGGGATGAAGTCTTACCTTCCTGACCTTATCTTACCTTAATTGCCTCTTTAAAGACCTTATTTCCAAATACAATCACATTCTGAGGTACTAGGAGTTAGGACTTCAACACGTGACCAAGTTTAGCCTATCACTAGAGCAAAGAGTAAATTTCATGCAAATTAAAATTGTGCAATTCATTTTTGTGTATCCAATATTTTAAAAATGTGGAATAGTTTATTTAAATATTTTAATTTTATACCTTTAAATGTAGCTGTTACAAATGCCCTTTTAAGTTTTCATTTTACCTGGTTTAGTTGTACAGTGGTAAAAGGGCAAAGACTGGTGATAATGGTTATAGTGAAAATAATAGCTAATATTTGTCAAGTGTTGTGTTATATTTCAGTTCTGAGCATTTTTGGCAGGGGTAGCCTGGAGTTAGGACATCCTTATTTAAGGTTAGGTTGTATTTCTTTTGCCCATCCCTAAGACTCCAGATGTGGAGTCCTGGGGCAGGGCTCTAGGTCAGTACCTTCATGAAGCAAAATAAGATTCTTCACAAACTATTGTTTCATGAGATATCATTTAAAGTTTTTCTATAGACATAGGCTTTTTAGTTAGTTGAATTACACAGGAAGCAGTCTTGATGTCCTAGATTATGAAAGTCATATAAAAATTTTTTATCCTGTATTCCTATTTGGCTTATACCTGTAATGTTATACTTGTTGTATTGTAGGTGTTCAGTAATTAATTGTAGAATGAATGAATTTAAGCAACATGGACAGATAGTTATGGCAGCAATGCCCTTTTCTAAAGAGCATATGTACATCGTCAAAACAGTTGTATTATATTCGTTGTTCCAGCCGGCTTTTATTATTATTTTACTTATTTTTTTTTACCAGCAAATAACATAGAATGTTTAACTTAATCATAGACAAAATAAACAGTCATTTGGATCCCTTGTACTTTAGTTCTCTCATATGTACTGGTATGAAGTTTGGAATCAATTGAGCAGTAGTTTAGTCTGGTAGTATGGAAACTCCTCCCTGTAAGACTTCCTAAATAAGAAAAACTTATTTTACAATATTTATGCAATACCTACCACATTAGTGGTTGTATATGTTTTTGCCTTTGCTATTTTAGTAGTCAGTCTGATGGGATTGTGTTTGAAACTGTAGCCAATTGCTAATGTCTTTAGGTAAAATTTCCAGGATATTTGAAAAGTAGGAAAAATCAAGACAGTCAAATTGTGAACACCTACAGTTCTGTATTAGACAAACTAGTCATACAGGTATACACATTTGTTCTTTGATTGGTGTTACTTTGTGCTTCCAGACAATTGAATAATGAATGGCTTTGAGAACAAATGGCAATTGTCAACAGAATTCTGTTTCTCAGTATGCATATTGGTGTAATTACATCATTGCTTCTGTTGCTAGCTTTTAGGTTTAGTTTATATAGTACTTAGAGTTTTCTTGGTCCTAGTTTAACTTATTAAGTGGGTGGGAGATTTTAGATGTGGCATGAGAGGATACAGCTTTCATCCTGTGTTTGGAGAATAGTACTGCCTGTTAGCATATTTAAATTTTTAAAATTAAAAAATTCCTTAAACTGCATATAAACCATTGTATTAATTGTTAGGGACAAATAACTGCTTTTTGGCCTTAGGTTGTTGTTCTTATTTTTCTCATTTCTTTCTGAATTTTTGTGCAATTTTCATAGAGTTTTTATTATTTCAATGTCAGTGGGATTTGAGTCTCATGTCAGCAAAAAGGAATTTCATTATTGAAAACACTTGTTGAATTTTCATATTTGTTTCATATGAATGAACAGGTCTAAGGATGTCCAAAGGTAATGCAATGGAATGTGACTGAGTTGAAATTAGACATATGAATCAGACCTTTGTGGTATATTTGTGTCTTGATTTAGGTTGGTTGAAGACTTTCAATGACTACTTTAGAGACAAGACTCAGTATATTTTTAATAACATGGTCCTAAAGCTGAAAGAAGACTCAAGCAGGAAATTTATGTGGTCTGAAATCTCTTACCTTTCAAAATGGTGGGATATTATAGATATTCCGAAGAAGGAAGCTGTTAAAAGGTTTGTTTTAAAACTTTTTTGAAATTTGGTAATAGTAAAGATTAATTGTATAGTGAAATGAATACTGAATTTTTAGCTGTATATCTGACTTACAATGTTTCTCCATATCCTTTTAAAATTGATTTTGGTTCATCTCTAATAAAACAAATCAAAACCTGTCTATTGAAGTCCTTATGCTTCAACTTTGTCCTAGCAGTGGAATTGCTGGGTCAAAGGTGTTTAATGTTAAAGTTCTTTTTAAAGTGTATAATCAGAGTGACTTCTGGAAAGGTTGTTTCAGTGTATTTGTCAACCCTCCACTTAGAAATGTACTGATTTGATTGCCTATTGGCTGATAATATAACTTAATAATGCTGGCCAGCTTGATGGCTGAAAAATATTTTAATTTGCATTTCTGATTGGTAACAATGTTTCCTGTTTTGTCATACATAACAAAATGTTGCTTATGACTTGCTTGATTGTACTTTTTCATGCTCATTTTTAGGGATATATATTTTTCATAAAGTTTTTATTTTCTTCCTAATTACTAGTCCTTGATTTAAAGACTCAAGATTTTTATGTAGTTAAGTCTATTGATCTCTTTTCTTTGCTGTCACTGTTAGAAAGGTCTTCCCCATCCACAGTTCAGTCTTTTACTTGCCTAGGTTTCAGGTTTTACCATTTGCTTTTTAAAATTCTGAAATTTATTTTTATTTATTTTTAAATATGACATAACAGGAACTTCTCAGATCACCAAGTACTTCTGATCTTAGGAATTAAGAATTATGTTTTCATGAATTGTTTTATTTATATAACATCACTTGTGGGGCACTTAGGGTGTTAATCACTGTTCTGAGTACTTTACAGGTTGTAACTGATAATTCTCTCAACAATTGTAAAGTAGGTATGGTCGTCCTTATTTTACAGATCAGGACGCTGACTCGTCCAAGTGTCCCTTCTTAAACATGGTGGCGTTGGCATTCCATCAGCCCAGGCTGTCCACCTCCAGAGGCTGTGCTTTTGGCACACTCTGCCTCCTAAGATTTACATTTAAATAATTGGTCTTTTCTGTTGATTTGGTGCCATCTTTGCTGTATTTATTTCTTGGATTGCTGACCTGTTTCATAGACTTTTCTGTTGACTATTGTGTCATGATGATTTAGTTCATCAAGTGACAATAAACCCTTCTTGTATTTCCTTGTTGAAAAATTTAATGAGTGACGATTTAATTTTCCCCAAGCTTTAGAATTAATTTGTTAAGTTCTTCTAACTCAATAAAAATAAAATCTTTGGACTTTGATGGAAATTGATAAGCATTTAAAGGTAATTGTGAGGAAGACTGATTTCTGCTATATTCATTGGAGGATTCCACCCCCGCCCCATAACAGGTTTAAATTGCTTGCATTTGTGGCTTAGGATGGTGTCCTAAGTGAAGTCTCTGGGGTACTGGGATGGACTGAGTAGCCGCCACAGCCCAGGGGATCCTCACTCTTCTGTGGCAGACACCTGTTGCTGCAGGATCCAGGACTTCACTCTCTCCCTCCATTTTCTCAAGCTGCCTTTCCGATAGCATTATGCGTTATAGAACATACTTTGACTATTTAAGTTGAAATGCTAGTAGATAGTTTAGCATATGTAGGTGAGTTTGTATACTTACATAACCCTGAACTTACATGGGCTCATGCATGCAGACACCCAGGTGCAGAGCCAAACAGTATTTCTGAATCCTTAGGTACCTACTAGTTTGCAACTTTGTAAATATCAAGAAATGTAAAAGTAGGCAGAGCTGGTGTGTGTCTTGTAAGTAATTATTTGGCTGAGTATTAAGATTTTAAAAACAAGGTTTTTGTATGTTTAAATCTTGTGCTACTCCTTGAACACAAATGATACTTCATACTGTATTTTATGAAACATGCTAATTTTATAGAAATTTTACTGATTAGATTTTGAGAATTTATTCTAGCTATAGTTATTTTTGTTTTTGCATTACTTTTATGATTTTTTTTCTTTATTCTATGGGCTAAAGCTTTTACTTATTTTTTTGCTGGTTTTCGTCCTTATCCTTTACCTCCAGAACCTATGTATGTTTTATTGCTTTTTTTTAACCTTTGACCTCTCTGCTTTTCATAGTTCCTAATTCCTTCTACTTGCTTTTACTAATGTTCAATGGGCCAGTCCATTAATTTTAATAAATGTTCCTCTATCTTCATGTTTGACTTTCAGCACTGTTCTAACCAGCTATTAAGTTTTTATGTCGTTTTCTCATTATTGTTTTTCTAAGTATTCTATAACTGTACTTAGTTTTCTTTTTGACTTGAATTTATCAGAAAAATAGTTTTCACCTGGAAAGTGCTATTTTTTCCAAATTATACTTCATTAAAAAGTAGCTTTAATGTCTTATGGCCAGAGGGTATGGACTCTATACTTTTATAGAGTTTTTTGAGTACTTTTTGTGACTTAATATGTAACTAATATTGATTAATTTTATATTTCTGCTTGAAGAGGAGTTTTTAGAATGTAGATTTTGATGGCTCTCTGTTAATTCAGCATCTTACAATTACTATTTTTATCTGTGTGCAGTTCTGCTATCATGCAATATATTCTTAACAATCACTATGCTATGTAGACCTGTGCAGCGAAACAACAGGGCCTATGGAAAAATGGGGTTGGGGCATAACATTCAACACTTTCCTTAGTGGCACACACACATACAAAGGAACCCAAGTAATGGAGACCTAATGAAGATGCTTGTCCAAGGTAGACATTGTGGTGCACTATTGCGATCTCAGTACTCTGGTGGTGGGGTGGGGTAGCAGGAGAGACAAGAGAATAGCAGGTTCCATTGTAACCTGAATGACCTTAGTGAGACCTTGTCTGAAAATAAAAAATACAATAAAAGGCTGGGAATATGCCTCAGTGTGCTGGCCCCATCAGGTCTCACTCAAAGACACACGGACACACAAGCTAGCGCCTGTGTACAGACCGCATAGGGTCTGAAGCAGGGGAGAGTGGTGGGAGATGAAGAAAAATGAAAACATGAAAAAAATGAAATACACCAAGATTATTCTTGAAAGCTGGGACCAGGTAGAGCCATAGCCTCTTGGGACCTAATGGCCACCTAGAGTTCAGTTGCACTCTTTATTTATAGTGTAAGACAAACAGGAAGAGAAGGCGGGGTAACTGGTGCTATGTGGCCTAGGCCGAACGTGGCGTGATGTCACGTGATAAAAGGGAACAAGGAAGGAGGATACATGATGTAACTGTCTCCTGAGGCTGTGCCATCCAGGGTCTACAGTCTTACAGTCTTAGTCAAACAGACTGACTTATCTAGTCTATGGAGGAGAAGGGGAGTGGGGAGGAGGCGAAAGACTCTCTTCAATCTCAGCCTGTGGCGTGCTAGTCCAGTTTTACTTATGTTGAATTGATTAAATGCCTAAGTGTTCCCCAAAGTGTGTCAGTTGCCTTCAAAAGCATTTGAAGTTTGCTCGTGGAAGTGGGTGTTGGAAAGAGTACAGATTGTTATGAAATTGCAAGCGTGTTTTCTGAAATTGGATGAAAAGTTGTACAGCAGGTGTGGATCAGTGTGACTCACTACATGTAATTAACTGAGGGAGCTGGCGGATGTTTGACATGTGCATGTGTGTGTCTTTCTATAGGGCTCGGGTCACTTTATCTGATTTTGCTCAGTGTTTCTCAGGAACTAAATCACACACAAAAACATGCAATGATTGTTCCTTAATGTGATCATCACTTTGGAACAAATTCCCATAATTAAAATACCGTAACTGTTTATAGCAGAATTGACTGTACTTATTTTTTGCTGCTGTTCTAGCAGCTTCCTTTTATTTTTTTTCTTCTTTCTTGATTCATTCGTTCTTTCGTTCAACAGACATTGCCTGAATATCAAGTACGGAACAGAGATTGTAAGGACCTGGGTACTCCCAGGCAGCTATTTCTTTTTCCTCATTATAAATTGTATCTTTTACCATTGACAGACTGCATTCTTTTCTTCTTTTAATGACAAATTTTGGGGAGGTAGTTTGGAGTGGTAGTTAAGACTGTGCACCAGAGCCTGGCTGTCTGGGTTTAAATCCTCGCATCCCATGTACTGTGGCACCTATGCAAAGTTACTTAACCTCTTTGTACCTCAGTGCCTTTATTTTGGCAAATGGAGATAATATTGGAACGTGTATTGTTTGATATTTATAAGGATTCAGTTAATACAAATAAGATGCTGACCACACATCTGATGCATTTTTAGTTTTAAATTTTATTTATTTGTGGTGCTGAACTCAAAGACCTCACATGGTAGGCTAGTGTTCTGCTACTGAGCTATGTGCTCAGCTGGATGGACATGTATTTAAATCCCAATTAAACGTTAGTGACACTTACTATTTTTACTTTTGTTCCACTTAGACACTATGTAATTTTTATTTCTGAAGTCATTTTGAGATTCTACATTTTTTAATAGGAGAGTTAAATATAAAATTTATATTTCTGTCCCATCTTTAAAAAGCTTCATTGAAGATATATAATTTTTTTTTAAACTCTGCCCAGTTACTTTTAGGATTTAAAAAAATTCATGAAATTCTCAATTTTCATGGAGGTGTATAACTAGGTATGGTTAACTTTTGATTGCTTTCCATCTGTCAGTTCAAACACTTGCTCAGCATATGTTTTCTGTACTCGTGCTAGTGTTTGTTTCATTTTTTTAAAAACTCAATTATGTGGTTGCTAGAGTATAGTCTCTCCTTTTGATATGCCATTTTATTTTAATTTCTTTGTTTTACTGCATTTGGGAGATTCTTGTCAAGGATTCTCTCCTCCCTTTGATTCAGTACCTTGTGGCATTGAGTGTATTCTTTCCTGACTTTGATAATTTTAATTCTCTGTTCTTTATATTATTTTCCATGAAGCCAACTATTTTCCACCTTTTATTCATTTATAAGCAAGAACAACTTTATCCCTACCTGGAATTTGTCCCCATCAGAGCGTGGCTTCTTGGAAGACCTTCCTTTTCT